TATATATATATATCCGCTCGTCATAAAAGATAGTTATTATCAGTATTATCTATAAGCCTTGGTATATCACGGGTGTTGTATCAGCAAGATAGCAAATGGTAATTGCAGCTGATCTTTGCTGCTTGTGTAGCGATAGCGACTAGGTCGATTAATTTTCGCTGACACAGTTTGCCCTATGATTATCATTTTAAATGTAAAATAATTATAATATTATATCATTATATGCGTACAGCGGCAGCAGCTTGCTCCTTGCTCTATAACTGTCCATTTATTCTTATCGTTCTTCAATAAATTCTTCCCATTGCACTGAACAGAAAAATAATTCAACCGGTAGGTACACAGATCCACGATGAGGGCGTGTCAGTTGTTCAAAACGCTTCATATCAAGCCAGCGCTTGTGACCGGTTTCGAACACGGCGGCTGTTGCGCGACTTTGAGGCTGCCCTCGATCTCGATCAGAAAATCCATGGTGAGTTGTATGTTGCGTCTGCATGTCGTCTTGTCCATTGTATTAATAACTAGTTTCCTATATTGCTTTTACCGCCGGATTTGTGTGTGTAAAAAAAAGGTACCTATTTGTGATTTACTATGTTTAAGGCTTCCAAAGGTGGTGTTGGTGTCCGCAAGGAATCCGACACTTTTGGTGAATTGGAAGTGCCTAGCGATCGTTACTATGGTGCTCAAACAGTGAGGTCAACAATGAACTTTCGTATTGGAGGCGAAAAAGAACAGATGCCGGTATGTGCAGTCTTCATACTTACTTATTTGATAATTTGATATTAAATATTAAGTATAAGTAGTTGTTATTTTAAATAGGTACTAACGTATTATAAAATACAATTATACTAAATATTAGTTAGTTATAGGTAGTTATTAAAAAATAATAAGCATCAATGTATGGCTTTAATTTTTTTATGCATATATATTACAAGAATAATACTTATATCATGGTTATTATGAATAGTATTAATGTATTTTTTTTTTAATTGTTATTTTTTTTCTAAATGTTAAAAAAATAATCTTATTAACAGTAAGTTAAGATGACATTCGTCAGTAAAACTTTATGAATAAAAATAAAAAAAAAATAAAAATGAATAGTATATTAATAAAGCTAAAAATATCACTTACAATATGTCTTATTAGTAAGTATGTAACATATACTTATAATGATAGTTACTAAATAAAAACTTAATTCAATGTGTTGTATACATTTGTACAGTGGCGCCGTACCCTATGTTAAGGTCGGGCCATGGCCCGACATATTTTGAAAATTTAAGATAGGGCCGCTTCATATTGACCATTTTCCTCTCCACGGTATGCCATTTTTTCCGATATTAAGATGTTGGGCCTCTTGAAATATTTTTCGCCCTACTAGATTTTTAGGACTTCGGCGCCACTGCATTTGTAGACAGTTTTTTCTAAAACAGATTATTTAGAAAATAGTTTTTATATTCTTACATTTAGAACTAGAATATTGTTGGTAATTTTATTAGATTTCTAAATTGTTTTAATCTTAAATACCAGTTTAAAAATCACTTTAAAATTCTAACCAAACTTATTACTTTTATTCTTTAAAGATCTGCTGTCTATATCATTTGGGTTTAATTTCTTATAATTTAAACCAGTCATTTAAATATTCATAAATTATTTAGTACCCTTATAAGTTATATAGGTAATAAGTACCTTATTAGTCATGTTTAAGATTTTAATATGGAAATTTTCATTATAAATCTGATTAATTTGGTTAAAATAGATTTACCTAACTTTATAATTAATATTTTATTAGTATCCTGTAATTGTTGCTATGGGAATACTGAAAAAAGCTGCAGCAGAAGTAAACAAAGAATTTGGCCTTGATGCAAAAATTGCTGATGCAATAAGCAAAGCAGCAGATGAAGTAATCAGTGGAAAACTTTATAACGAAGGACATTTTCCTTTAGTAATATGGCAAACTGGATCTGGTACACAGTCAAATATGAACACAAATGAAGTATGTACAATGATATCAATTACATTTTAAGATGCAATAAAAATATTATAGTTAAATGAAATGTATTTCAGGTGATTAGTAATAGAGCTATTGAAATTCTGGGGGGAGAATTGGGATCAAAAATTCCAGTTCATCCTAATGACCATGTTAATAAAAGTCAGAGTTCCAATGACACTTTTCCAACAGCCATGCACATTGCAGTAGCAATGGAATTAAACAACTTATTATTGCCATCATTAAAACATCTACATAAGGAATTAGATAAAAAAGCAAAAGAATTCTCTGGCATTATAAAAATTGGCAGAACACATACACAAGTAAGAATAATAGTTGATTGATTTCTATAAATTTAAAATTAATTCGAACATAATATTTTTTATTATATTGATTCTCTATTTACTGGTGAGCTCTATAATAATTTAAATCACTATATTTTTTTAATCCTAGCTTAAAGTTTATGAATAATTAACCATTATTAATTTTCTTATCTAAGAAAGTATGTAACTTTTTAAAAGATTTGAAGAATTGCTGAAACCTACCTATATGGTAAATTTATAAAATGCTTACTTCTTAATATAATTACTTCTATACTCTGTTYAAAATGAGATCGGACCTCGGCGGCCGAGTTGTGCGCATGGGCGTGGCTTATTTCTGCGGCTCGGCCTGACACATGATATATGGTGGGGGAGGTGCCTGACCGTCCGCGAACGAAAACTGGTCGCCGCCGAGGTCCGATCTCATTTTGAACAGATTATATTATATTACTGCACATTCATAATCAATTGGAATTACGCAATTCTGAACAGCAGAGTAATTAATGTAGGCTTCTTTGGTTTTAATGTTAATTTTACTGTTCTAAAAGATATTTCATTAAAAATTAATACAAAAATATTTTTAGGCTTTTTAAGTAAAATAACTATTTATCCAGGTTTTTTAGTGTAGATATTAAAAAATTGAATTCAAAATTAATAACACTAAGAAATATAGTTGATTTGTATCAATTGTATTGTATATCACATTTATATTGCTTACTGTATACTAACAGAATTGTAAATTATTGTTAATATAGGATGCTACACCATTAACCTTAGAACAAGAATTCAGTGGATATGTAAGACAATTACATAATGGTATCAAAAGAGTAGAAAATACCTTACCTCATCTTTATGAACTGGGTTTGGGTGGTACAGCTGTCGGAACAGGCTTGAATACTAGAATTGGTTTTGCTGAAAAATGTGCCGACAAGATTAGTCAATTAACCAAGTTGCCATTCACAAAATCTCCTAATTTCTTTGAATCACTGGCTGCTCATGATGCTATGGTTGAGGTATCAGGAGCACTAAATGTACTCTCATGCAGCTTAATGAAAATTGCAAACGATATCAGATTCCTTGCATCTGGACCGAGAAGTGGTTTAGGTGAACTGTCACTACCAGAAAATGAACCGGGAAGCAGTATTATGCCTGGTATTATAATATAATTTTAATTCCCACTCATTTTATTATTATGATATTTACTATTATTTAATGTTATTGTTTTATTATATTTTAGGAAAAGTAAATCCTACTCAATGTGAGGCAATGACAATGGTGTGTGCTCAAGTGATGGGTAACCATGTAGCGGTAACAGTTGGTGGCAGTAATGGCCACTTTGAGTTGAATGTTTTCAAACCTATGATTGTTTCCAATGTGCTGAGATCTATAAGGCTTTTGGCAGATAGCTGTATGTCATTTACAGATAATTGTGTTGTTGGAATTGAAGCTAATAAGGAGAGAATTTCTCATCTTTTACAGAATTCTCTTATGTTAGTTACTGCCTTGAATCCACATATAGGATACGATAAAGTAAGATAGTCTATGGTTTAGGCTAATTCAAATACATAGCTGGCTAACTTTATTAATTGTCTTATCTTTAATTTTAGGCTGCTAAAATCGCAAAAACAGCCCATAAAAATGGATCGACTCTTAAAGAAGCTGCACTACAACTTGGATATTTAACTGAAGAAGAATTTGATAAATGGGTCAGACCAGAAGACATGTTGGGACCCAAATAATTTATTTAATTTAGAATAGGTGTAAAATACTAAAATTATATTTGTCTTTATCTGTTAAAATGTACTTAAAAAAAAAAAATAATAATAAATTGAAATCAATATTTTTTAGCTAATATTCTTAAAGTTTTTGTTATTAGTTATTACATTTAATTGCATAAAATAATTATTTTTAAATCATCCTATAAACATCCAATTAAAATTATGTTATTGAAACACAATATATATGTATTTACAATTTACCTTTTAAAAATATGTCAACTCAAGATTGTTATCTATGGCACCTTATAGACTTTTATACTTAAATTTTAATGTGAGTTGTACATGTTTTAAGATAAACAAACAATTTATAATTTTAAAATACTCAACTTGCTTTGATATAAAAATAAAATAAAAAGCATATTAGATGCCCTAGATAAGAATCTTTCTTTTAAATATTTTAAGAGGTGATTTAATTGTAATTTTAAAAACTATTGATTATACATATTATTACGATTAAAATGTGATATGTATATCAYAGAGAAAAAAAAATAATTTACTGATATCATCTTAAAGTACATTAATATGTAGTACACTAATCTAGTATGTATTCATATTATAATTCTGAACGAGTTCTTAAGTAACTCAACTCAAATGGCTTTGAAGTAATTGGTTTTAATGCTGTAAGATTTCCATTTATTATTAAAAACATTTTATTAATTCTGTTCACATAAGACATAAACTCTATTCATGTTAAAAAGCTTACTCGGCTGCAACCAGTTAGTCAGGAAAGGGTCAATCAACATGCCAAGTCGATCATAGAATTTACCATTTATCCTATACAATAAAGCACCAGTAACGCACACAATTTAATTGCCATTTATGTTTCTTAACTTAAATAGGGTAATCTGTACTTACTAGTACTAGTTTGTACTTTATAATAAAATATATACAGATATCAATTAAATATTAACAAATATATAAAAAATAAAACCTTCTTATAATAATCAATTTAGTTTTAAATAATAATTTGCATAACAGGATTAAATTTACCTATGTGAAACATTTAGTAAATTTAATAATTGATCATTGCATTGTATTAATGTATTTTAAGTGTTATAGCAAAATTACCCCTTTAGTGATTTGCATTTAGAAAACAATATTCTTTCAAAACATCTGACACAATACAATTTGTCTTATGTATTAGATATCTATATTAAAATAATACTATAAGAGGGTTTCAATTGAAATACAATTATATTTAAGGTAAAATAAATTCAAAATATTACATACCTAACCAACAAAATGTATCAAACAACAATTCAAATGTTTTTACAAGTAAAATAATCTCAAAAACAGTCTTATCATAATTCAATATAAAACTTAATTATAAACATTTTAGTGCAAAAAAACTACTATTTATGCTTTCCCTGTGATCCGTTATGTGGTTTATTCCCATTTCTGGGGCGGCTTCTTCTCTTTTTTAATAGTAATTCCCAATCTTTTCGAGCCAACATGTACAACTGTAGTGCTGCTTTGGCATCTTGAACAGAACTGTGTTCTCCTTCCTGTATGCTAGCACCAAGAAAATGTAATGTCAATCGTTTCAGACCAGGCGTTCGACCTTCTGTCAATTGCTTGAATTGCCAATACGTTGAGGTGTCTCTAATCATATGTTTGGGGTGTGAAATCCTCAATACCCTTAAGTCATGTTCTAGTGCATGTCCTATCAATAATTTATTTTTGAGTAATTGTGTGACTTCTTTTTTTACTTTGGCAAATACCTCCCCGTGTTCAATATCTTCAGGTCGAATACCGCTCACCGGTGTACGATAATCTGTCACTGTTGCTGTAGGCTTGACAAACTTGTCATAAATGGTTTCGCCCTTAGAGTTGACAATTGAAACACGAGCCAACATATTTCTCTGTCCATCGGGATGAATGCCGACCATTTCGCAGTCGATCGCTACAACTTCTATATCTTTTTTTTCATGCTTCTGAAACACAAACAACTGTAAATAAATACACGGCGAGGACTACACTCATCGAGCTGCAACCTTAGATGTTCGGCCTGTTCGGGTTAAATTACCTGTACGACGGAACTGTTGTTCAAATTACTGGCAGGAGGCGGTAAAGCGTTTGTAAACTTTATCCAATTGTTGGCACCGTTAGCGTTCTTATGAACCGCTGATGCGACGTTTTTGTTCATTCTAAGTTGTAATATTGGTAATAAATTTAATAATAATCAGAATGTAGTAGAATAATACGGTGTTCACAGGCCACAGGGTAAAAAATGAACAGCACAAGTCACCACCGGAGCCACGGGGCACGGAGTGAGTTACCGGGATCTGCCCAGCCAGATACGACGTCGTTGATAAGAGTAAACATGAACGAACTACACAACGGTGAACGGACCTGATGGGATTAATAAAATATTATAAAAAAATAAAATTGAATAGGCAATGTTATAGTGATAACAGACCCTCGACGTTATAAGGCACCACAGACCACGACAGTCCACAGTACCACACTATTGTTTTGTGAGCTGCACCATGCCCCATAATTTAATAATAATATAATCGTAGCCCTTGTTGTAGGGACTTGGATGGAATCTCAAATATAATACCGTTTTTGGAGGAACTAGGAAGAAGTAGTCAGTAAACAAAGTTAGCCTTAGCTTGAAAAATTAACGAACACGTTACACGACGGACGGACTAGAACGGAAACAACATAACCTCGAAAATAGTCGAAACATCAAGACTGACGAACGAATGTTATGAAATGATCAAATGAATGTTGTATGATTGTGTAGGAATTTCGTATTATCTATTTTAGGTTAAATTTAATGTGTCTTTTAAAATATAACAATCATAATAATTAAATCAGTAGCGATAATAATAATAATAATGAAGATGACGATTGACGATAAGTCGTCGCCGTCACCACTGCAAATTTAAATATTTTGAATAACGATTACGATAATATTATTTATTATCGGAGAGTACCGACCACCGATTCGCGAAACCGTGACTCGCCAAGTCGCCACTTCGCCAGTCGCCACTCATGAGTCGTTTCTGAATCGTCGTCGTTGTCACTCGTCGCCCACCATACAAAAATAGTTGACGAATAGTAGTCGGTATTCTACTTATCACACACCAAGACCGAATGCTTGCTGACTAAAATAAAATCGAACTTCAATACACTTGGTTTCGGGGAAAAGTCGTGTTCGTCATCGCAGACCAAGTAAGTACGTTTCATGATTTAAATTATGTACCCAACTGCCCAAGTCTACGTTTGCCCGTTCTGGTTTCAACTGTCAAAGCTGTGGACTCGACGTCCCGGTCCACAGTCTCCCCATTTCATTTTCATCGATTTATTTTTCATCCCKACGTGGGTGCTCCTTCCGAAATATTTTAATTAATAATTGTTGAAATGTTTTTACGCGCACACATCACACATGTGGCCGTCTAATTTACGTACATATTAGTTAGGTTTCCACAATAGCCCCAGCGTACACAATAAAATATCATTATACCTACTCGTATCTCGTAATAATAGATCATTCGGTCGATCGCCCTTAGGGAGACTTTTACGTAATCAATTTCCCAGTGTCGCGTCGTCTATTGTGTGCACCGTGCTGTTGCCAGTCGCTATTATGCGACTGTTGGCGTCCAATACTGCAACTGATTGTGGGCTCCAAGGTAATGATACCCCTTGGGGTGTGTTGTGTGTTTTGTCAACAAAACCAACTTTCACGATTCACTACTTCTCTACCACACATTATGGACGTCTTGTGTTTAGTAATCTTGTAGGTTGTAGACAGTTGTGGTACTGCTCTTACCTGCCAAGTATTAAGAATATTGTTATTGGTCCAGAAACGATTTTGCTTGTCACCCTTTGCCGAGTGACTGACGCTAAATTTTCAACACTGTCAGTCTATGCACTTATCGTTATCTAGGTAATGTTTGCCAATCGTCCAATGCATTATTATTGTCGTTTGAATTTTCATAAAACTATTCTAAATTCTATACCACTTTGTTTTTGTTGATTTAAAACAATAAGAAAGGTAACTTTTTCTTAAGGTTAGGTTTGTATTCAGATTTAACCTCGGGTTCAACAATATTCAAATATATTTAAAACATGTTTATATATTATATTATTTACCACCATCTATGGACCATCACATAAATAAAACAAACATAATTCATTTTAATAATGTTACACTGTTACCTATTATTAAAAAACTTCTCTATGTTACATTGTGGCGAGGTGTGTATACATATTATATGACATTTATATTGTTCATATCGTCTATCCTCTCATCCCAATCCTCTTATTAAAGCTTTCTCAACAAATGCTATTCCTGGAAATCCTCCAAGACGCTTAAAGCGCAAATGGTGTAGAGATCTTTTAACATAGAAAAAAAAAAAATTTTTTGTTTAAAATATTAATTCAAAACTAAAAGTGTCATCATTGGGTGGCTTCTTTTATCAAATTCTCATGTCACTTATTTAACTTAAAGCAAATACTCCTATTGTACCTTTTAGGAACAGATTGTGTACATATAAATAAAGGAAAAAAATAAAATATTGTTCATAAACTTAAATAATATTTTTTAGACAAAGTAAATAAATATAACAATTTTGTTGATACATTTTTTTAAATTATGTATTTGTGGTTAGGTACATTTAAAATAAAGCATAATACTGTAGTATATTTGATATAAATATTTGTTTATCTTAATCATATTTCTCATGTACCTAAACACTACTTGTTTGTCTTATTTGCCATGATGTAATGAACCAATAGTTTAACTTCTGTTTTTAAACATCAAAAAACCTAATATTTATTTAAAAATTAATGAAATTATTTTGTTATATTGTTATTCTTGTAGTTGGTGTTTTATTGTATACATCACCTACAATTTTAAGTCGGTATTTTTGATTTACCCATTGTTAATTGTTAAAAAAGAATGCTCTGAACACTGTATCTGTATCAGAGCAATCTTATTTCCAAGTAGATTATTTACCTACTGTCAACTAGTATAATCATTTGTTGTTTAGTGTATTAAGATAAATTTCAAGTTTTGAAAAAAGAAAATAGTCGTGTTCTATAGGCACTTATCTGTTTCATATTATTTTTGGAAGTGCCTACCAAGTTAATTTGAAAAAAAATGAAAGATACCAGATTAATCAAAGAATATTTCAACGTAAGTTCCTGTGATACATTTGTATTTTGTTCTTTAAACAATTTAACAAGTATCTTTTAGAATAGTAATAAAATATTGTATGATTAATAAATCATGTACAAACAAATACTTTTCTAATAAAATATTTGTTCAAAATTATCTTAAGTGTATAGCACTAATATTGAGTATGCATAATACCTATAACATTTTGTTGGGTTTATTTATCTAAACATTTAATGAAATAATACAATTTGTCGTACTCATACATTGGTGTAGGGTTGTGAAGATGAAATTGTTGATTTAAATCTTTGTAATATGTTCATCAATCTTTCGGTGATTTTGTTTTTTCAGATTTTCAGTAACCTTTAGAAATTTATCATTATCAAATTATAATCAACTACCTACATAGCTATCCTATTTATGAACTATTTTAAGTACAAGATAATGCATTTTTCTAAGGTATTTTAATTGTGTATATTCAACAGGAATCATGAAGCTGATCAAGTGATTAAACCAGTGCGTTATCTTGACAGTGATGAGTACCAGAGATGCAACGGATGACCGCTATATTGACAATTCTATTCGAACATGCAAAAAACCACCTTACAAGGTAAAGTCACCATCATATGTCAATATATCTAGATCTATAAATGGTTATACATCATCTTTAACACAGTACGATAGCAAGAAACGTGAGAGTCGCTCTAGGGATTGTAGTCCTATCAATGTACGCACAGTTAATAGTAACATGGAAGACCAAAATATTATGACGAAATGTTCAATTACTGATACAGTTGATTATAGGACTGAATCAGCCAATTCAGTAGTTATAAACACAATTCAAAGACTTTATGGTTCTAGTGTTAAAGTGTCACCAAAGGAAAAAAGATTGAACAGCATTCCTAAATCAACTGTAATACACAGAGAACATACACCTGACAGGCATGATTTACCTGTCTTAAAATTGCTCAATCCACAATTCCGAGCAAAATTAGTAATAAATCATAATTCACCACCCCCTAAAATAAAACCTTCACAAATCACCAACGGTAGTGATTTAGAAGTTAATGGTGGCAAATACTTTATTAAATTAGTTAACTTAGAATGTGATGCAATAAGAAAATTAATATCACAGGTAGAATGCTTGTTACCAATTGCTCCTGAATATGGCCAGGCTCGTATTCAAGCTATTGTTGGTAAATCAAATCTGTTAATATCAAAAAAAATTCAACAATTCCTTGGTTTATGCGAGAGTAATATATCATGTGCACTCGATGATTTATCCAGACCCAAAAACAATGATTTAGAAGGGTTTTGGGATATGGTCAAAATTCAAGTTGAACAGGTGAAAACTGAAATGCGAGAAATTATTGAAATAAGTAATAAAGGTTGGCCTGATGACGAAGACCAAAACAAAGAAAAACCTATCAAAAATATTAAAGTAAAAACAAAAGCAAAAAAACCAGTTGTTTTAAATTCAAAATATGACGCAGCTAGGAGAAAAGCAATTGAAGAACAGCGTAAGGCAATGAAAAACTTAAAAAGCGATGATGTTATATTTTTTTAATTATTAATATGTAAAGATTATACTGTAATATTATGTGTTAATGAGTATTATAATATTTAATTAGTAATTGTTTAACTTTTTAATTTATATATTTTGTATATTATGTCACATGCATTATTGTAAAAACATTATTTTACATTTTTAAACAAATTTTATCAAAATTTTAAACATTGTTAATACATTGTGATTAATTATGTTGATTGAGTATTTTAACTTCAAAAAACAAGTGCACTTATAGTTAATATACATTTTGTATTTTGGTTTAACCAAACCATAGAATAAGATATAACAAATAAGACAAATTTCTAAATTAAAATTTTATATGAACAAAATAACTAAAATTGAATTAATTAAAAGATTTTTTTATTATTTATAATTTATTGTTTTGCTCAATATCATTTACCTAAGCATTTTATTTACAATCATATTTTGTGTATAAGTTATTTTCTTATCTAATATACTCTAGTAATTAATATCACATAAGGAATTTTAATTCCTACTCTTCTTATAGAATAGGTACTTCTATATTTGATCTACCTCCATCCGATGTTCTAAACTGGTATGTATACTATAATAAATAGATACTTAATGTAAGTAAATAATTCAGCTTTTAAAATTTTTTTGAAAAATATGTTAAGGACTTATAGCTTGTTGTTTCAGAGTTTGAAGTACTATGCAATTAATGCCTTAATTTTTTTTGTTTGAGGTAAACTATTAATATCACAACAATATTAAATAAATGTGCTTCATTATTACTCAGTTTTATTTGTTTGAGACGGGCAAAAAATTGATTACAATTTTTAAAGTATAAATCTACCTATAATACTTTAAATCAATACATTTCAATGAATATGCAATTGTTTAAATTTGCATATATTTCTTAATTAATATTGCAATGATGATCTGTAGGTAGTTAATTTGTTTTAATTTGAGTTTAGATTTTCAGCTTAGTGATGAAAGTATT